TCCAGCCTTGGCCCCCTTAAGTGCCGGGATTACAGATGTGAGCCACCATGCTTGGCCTCCTGGGGCAGTTGTAGAGACAGGGCTTTGTCTCTTAGTGTTTGAGTCTAACTAATAGAAGTAGGATTTTCAGAAGCCCCTTCTCTAGTAGTCCTCCCCATGATGTTTAAGTGTGTCTTATTAGGCAAATTATATGTAGATGGGGGTTTCTCAACCTTGGCATTATTGGCATGTTAGGTCAGCTAATTCTTTGCCATGGGGGGCTGTCCTATGCATCGTAGGATATTTAGCAGCATCCCTAACATCTACCCACTAGATAGCAATAGTATCTCCCCTCCAGTTGTGACAATCAGAGATATCGCCAGACTTTGCTGAATGTCCCCTGGAAAGCAAAATCATCCCCAACAGTTGTCCTGAACATTTTTGGCACCAGGGACTTGTTTTGTGGAAGACGATTGTTCCATGGATGGGTAATAGGGGATGGTTTGGGGATAAAACCATTCCACCTCAGATCATCAAGCATTAAATTCTCAAAAGGAGCACGCAACCTAGATCCCTCACATGCGCAGGTCACAGTTGATGATAGGGTTTGCACTCCTGTGAGGATCTAATGCCACAGCTGATCTGACAGGAGGTGGAGCTCAGGCGGTAATGCTCGCTGCGTACCCATCGCTCACCTCCTGCTGTGCAGCCCAGTTCCTAACAGGCTGTGGAGTAGTACTGCTGTGTAGCCTGGGGATTCGGGACCTCTGGCGTAGAAGACGTTAAGTAACAGTGTATTAAAGTAACTAAAAGGATGTGTTCTCTATCTGTAAATAACTAATTAATTAATATGTACAAAAAATCTCATGGGGGAGTCTTTGCTTTTTTAGATAATAAGGAGAAGAGGAAGGATTTTTGTTTTGTTTTGCTGACGTTTACTCTTATTTATCAAAGTTATGTTTACTGTAGTCATGGGGATGGGAGGAGGACAGAAAGAGAATAGACTAAGTGCTGTCAGTTCCTTTTTGGAATGAGGCAGGATGTCAGCAAACGGATACAGACATGACTTTAAAAAGGAAAAACCAAAACCTAAAGGGAAAATTTGGGAATTGGGGGCAAGGGAACTGAGAGGTGCTTATGTTTACTTCTTCCTTCTTCCTAAGACGTACGTCTTCCAGATGTGCTTTTCTCATATCTCTCATTGAAAGCTCAGAGCTGCAAATTAGATGATAGGTTCTTTCTCTAAAAGAAGAACAGGAGAGCACTAAAAGCTGAAATCCGTTTAGCCGTAAAGTCATCATTATTCTCCAAATTGTGCTCGAGCTGCTTCTCATGGGCCTGTGATGGAGTTGTAGACCTCAGCTATTCTCAAAGTGCAGTGTGCCACTCGCACGACGGTCTGTAAAGTACTTGTTCTTCATACTTTATTATGCAAACTAAAAAATTTACATAATTTTATTAGACTGCATTATTTAATAAATACATGAAATATTTACACTATGTTTCTAAAGATATAAATGATTCATATCTCCTGAAACCTTTCTGATACAGGTAAAATTGGGGGATTAGAAGCTATCCGAAAGGAAATTTCTACGATGGTACAGGGGATAAACTCCTACTTAAAAGAATACATGAGAGGGGAGCAGTCACTCACGAGCATCTTCAATAGTGTATATTTATAGTAAGCTATCGTAATTAATCTTCATTACTTTTTCTGGATTGAAACTGCAAGACAGTAAGTTTTTAATGTCTAGAGATCAGAAACACTTCTATGTAAGTTTTAAAATATGCTATTCCTACTCTGCTACAAAAAAATGAGTATAAAGATCTTAATCATGGTATACTGCAATGCAGTTAGTCAAAATGATCCTTTACTCTCAGTACTTATAACTGGTCATTTTTATATAGAACTGAAAATACGTGTTATGGGACCTACTTTTCATTTGTATTAAAAGGATTTTCAAGGACTTTGAGCCGAGATTATTAATTCATAATGATTTGTCTTTGACCACATTAATGGTATATGTTGTTTCAGCAAGAAGGTACATAAAATGGAAACATGGTACACTAAAGCTTTAAATTACCATCCTTGTAAAATAAACATGGAAAAGCCAAGGTTACCTTGAAAATAGTTTATTTTATTTATACCTTAAGATTGAGGCTACGACAGAAGCAGAAACACAAAATTGCTCTTTTTAATAGAACAAGCCGCAGAGAAAGTCCAAGAGAGATACCCTTGAAAGCACTCTGAAAAGCTTACTTTAAAGGTGATATCACTTTTCAAATCTGAACTGTTGAAAAGTGAGACTGCTGAATGGCAGTGATCTTCTCCTTGTCCTTGTGAACAAACGCTTCCTTTGCTTGCACATGTCTGAGCATACTGTCCCGTCATGGAGAGTATGCCCCTGTCCTTCTTGGATTCTCTATTCCTCATTCTCATAAACTTCAAAGGAAGATGTTAAAGACTGTTATGTATGATGTCTCTACATCCTTGAACTATAGAGAGAAAACTTTCTACAATTATAAAACACACCTCACAGCATGAAACAAGGTTACAGAAGTATGATGGTCACCAACCCAACCACTGCCGAGTCTCCCCAGTGAAAAACAAAATGTTGAGTAGGTTTCACTTCGAAAGTAAAGTGAGATTTTGTTTGAAATAGCATATTCCAAAACTATTCTGTTCAATTCCAAACTAAATTTAGACTATAGTCTTAGGATTGCCTATGGAATGATGGCCTCGCTTCAATTGCCTAACTTTATCCCAAGACATGAAATCAATAGCTGAGATATTATTGTGTAAGTATACATACAGTGCACTTTTCCAAGAAAAGGGGAAGTACCAAAAATGAAATATACAGGAGCAGTGTTATAAAGAAGAGTAACCGTAGCTATTTACAGTTAGTATACTTCAGCTGTGGTTAGCAGTGAGAAGTCTTTTCCAGCTGTATTACATCTGTCTGTATTAAGCAATAGATGATAGTAACGATTTATCATATAGCCTAAGAAGAGAAATTATATCAGAAGTGGGGATGAGAAGGGATAGACTATGGATTAATTAAGGTCATCAAGAGTAATATCCCATCTATTCTTTCTAAGAGATCTATTTTTTTCTTAAAGGTATTTTAAATATGTTGTTTAGAAACTTCGGATTGGTTTTTGTTTCCAGTCTTTTTTTTCGTAAGTAAATTTCTTTGAATAGTTCATTTTCCGCACTTCTGGCTTTGTACTTGAATAGAGTAGTAAAATAGATCCAAGATATGGTGAAATGACTATGAAGACTCAGTTGCCAAAGTACAAAACAAGGACCATACCCAAAATGCTTCTGGTGGCTTGTGGAAGAATAAGTAGCGTGGAATCAGAAGCAGAAATAGCGGAAGACTGAAAGACAGAGATAATTGAAAGCCAGCAGTGCTACAGTAGGAGTCAGCAAGCATGGCAATGAAATGTTATTGGAATCCAAGAAATCAGTTTTAAGTATCTGTAAAACTGTGAGGCTGGGCACAGTGGCTCACGCCTATAATCCCAGCACTTTTGGAGGCCAAGGTGGGTGGATCACCTGAGGTCAGGAGTTTGAGATCAGCCTGACCAATATGGAGAAACCCCATCCCTACTGAAAATATGAAATTCACTGGGTGTGGTGATACATGCCTGTAATCCCAGCTACTTGGGAGGCTGAGGCAGGAGAATGGCTTGAACCCGGGAGGCAGAGATTGCAGTGAGCCGAGATCACGCCATTGCGCTCCAGCCTGGGCAACAAGAGAGAAACTCCGTCTAAAACAAAACAAAACAAAACATAAATCTGTCTGTGAGATTTAATCTTTTCTCATATAAGCGAGGGATCTGATTACACAAAAATTTTTGACCATTGGATAGCTAGACTGTACTTATCAGTTTGCTCTCTAGTATTCTATGGCTATCTCTGGAAGATGCTTTAGGTACACTAAGGAAGATGAGACAGTACATAGCTGATAGTAATACCTTGTGATTTGTACTGTGAGAGAGGGAGCTGCGGAAGCTCAAGGGCTGTGCCTCAGTTCAACCTGGATTTAGCACCAGGCATTACACGCCCAGGCCCATGAACAGCCTGGACTTTGGGGGCAGATTTTCCTGATGGAAATCCTAGCACCATTACTTAAATTACTTGGTAATCTTGGGAAGGTTAATTATTCTCTGTAAGCATCTAAACTATAAAATGGGAATAGTAATAATAATAAATAATAAATTACATGCAGTGGCTTCCTATCTGGCCTATAGTAAAAGCCAGACTCTTTAATGAGGATCAGAGGTCCCACATAATCTGGCCCTTGCTTATCATTCTGATTTATTCTCTTTATGAAGAGATTCTCTTCATCCCCGCTACCCCAGATTATCTTTTGAATTTGTTTGTTGTGCTGTTTCTCCCTATCATCTCCTCTGCTACTAACAGCAGACACCTTTTCTATCTGATTAATTGCTGTATCCACAGAACCTGGAACAGTGTGGGCACAAAGTAAGTGCTCAGTAACTTATCTGTTGAATGAATAAGTACATACTGTGGCATATGAAGCACATAGTACAGGGACTGATAAGTAATAAACCTACCATAATTGTTTGCTGCCTCATGTGTTATGGCTCTCTATATGATTTTATTTGGGAAAAAAGTCTGCTACTGCAGAAGTGTAAATTTGAAATTAATATATTACTAAGGGAAATATAATCCCAGTTGAAAAATACTCTCACTTCTGGAGATTTCGTGATAAAGTGAGGGCAAACTTTTAAATGCTTAACTCTTCCACTTTGGGGTATATAACGTCTTTTGTCAGCAACTGCGTAACAAGCAGGGCAAGAAAGGAGGAGTATTACACTCTGGTTTTTAAAAATCTCTTAGGCCAAATTGCCTTTTTGAGGAGGAAGGGAGAACGGAATTTGAATCAACTAAAATAAGATTGATATCTCTCCTCATTGAAAAAAAAGCCGTGAAAACACAGGGACTAGTAAGAATGCTAACATTCTCTATGTTGTGTCCATTTCTCCTCTAGGTGTTACCACATCTGCAAACTTCCTGGGAGAGTAATGGGGATTCGAGTGCTTCGATTCTCTTTGGTGGTCATCCTCGTATTACTGCTAGTAGCTGGCGCTTTGACCGCTTTACTTCCCACCGTCAAAGAAGACAAGATGCTCATGTTGCGTAGGGAAATAAAATCCCGGGGCAAGTCCACCCTGGACTCCTTTACTCTCATAATGCAGACGTACAACAGAACAGATCTCTTGTTGAAACTTTTAAATCATTATCAGGCTGTACCAAATCTGCACAAAGTGATTGTGGTGTGGAACAATATTGGAGAGAAGGCACCAGATGAGTTATGGAATTCTCTAGGACCCCACCCTATCCCTGTGATCTTCAAACAACAGACAGCAAACAGGATGAGAAATCGACTCCAGGGCTTTCCTGAACTGGAAACCAATGGTGAGTTGCAGTGGAGTTCTCAGCCTGGAAGGGCTGCTGCTATCCAGAGCTGGGACAGGCAGGGGAATTTCTGGCCTTCTGGTTGTCTTATAACTGGAGAAAAATGAAGGAAGATAGTCCTAAGAAAGCACTTTGGAAAGCTTGGGGACAATTTCCAAGACGTCAAGAAGCAGTTTCCTGGTAAAGATGTTATCGTTGTAATAGAGGATATGTTATAATTCCATATTATTGCATTACAGCTGATAGTGAGATGCCATTTAGATTATGCTTAAAATATTTCTTGCCACTCCTCTTTTGCTCCCATTGCTGACGGTTTCATGAGGTTGCAATTTGCTTAAAAGAATCTTGGCTTTATTTATTGATAGGTTCAATAGTTTCTAGGATGATGGATGATAACTACTTGATTATTTTCCCTTCAGGCAGTTATATAACCAGTTATGATACCAAAAAAAATTATTTTTCTACTGGACAAATCTCCCCTAGAATACATTGCTTATTTACTTAGTGGGTCAGAAAATACTTCATTTGAATGATCTATGCAGACACGATTGTATTTTACTACTTTTGTTTTCATTTCCAAACTACTCAACTTAAATTTTTGTCCTTTATTTTAGCAGTGTTGATGGTAGATGACGACACACTCATCAGCACCCCAGACCTTGTTTTTGCTTTCTCGGTTTGGCAGGTAATGTTGCCATCTCCTTTATGAAACCATCTTTTTAAGATCTTGACTAGTACTTAATCAAGGCAACATGGTTAATATAAAGGTTACCTAAAATACCGTAGATAATATTTGTCTAAAAGACGGATGAATTTGTTACAGGCTAATCAAGATCCCCTGAGCTTAGTTCAGCCAACCTGAAAGTCTTTTATCTAGATTTAATTTATACTTTGGTGTATTTTGGGAAAAGAGCTAGAACTACCTTGCAGAGAACAATGAGGAAATGATGTGGTTTAGCAAAAACTAGAATGAGGAGATATTTTGCACAGGCCACAGACATGTGTCTCAAATGGTAAGGGGATTTCTGTATTAATATTGTATATAACTTTTTATAAAAGGAAGTTATTTATTACCTCCACAAAATTTAATCCTGGTTCTGAGACCGTTGTTTAGAAATTTTACGGTAATGATTCCACATGTACCATTGTGGTAGGAGGGATTCATTTTGTTTTGTTCTTTCCTAAATCCTAGCTTGAATAAGCAGGCATAAATTGCTCAGTGTCCTATAAAAGCAGCTCTCTCCTATTGAGTATGCGTTAGTAATAGCTAACTTTTACAAGTTGCACTACCATTACCTGAAACCAGAACTTCATAGAAGTACTTGGAAGCCGTGTCAAATAATTAAACACCGTGCTACCCAATAAATGATCTAATTGGCACCATGGTAACTTTTTAAATTAGCTTCTTGGGATATAACAGCATTAGATATTAATGGCAAGTGGTCACAATACTCTGCAGATATCAGCATTTTAAAAACTCCAGTTTTTAACTTCATCCCTAGCGTGCTGATCAACAAATTGAAATTTTTCTATATCAGCAGTTTTTTTTTTCCAGCCCTGTAAACAAAAGCTTCTTGGGCAAAAAGTTCTAATGTAGTACTTCTATTGAAGCTTAAAAATCAATTTGTCCAAAATGTAAAAATGGAGGCAGAACTTGGGGACTGTGGTTAATTGGAACCATCTGAGTCAACTATAAATTAAAGATGCAAAAACATGATTTCAGGGTTTATTTCTAAAAATATCAAAAACAATTTCAATCCACTGACCAACTTGAATTCAGTCCAACCCAAACCCTGTATAGCATAATGATCTGAGATTTGTATGTAAGCAAGCAAGACTAGAGTAGACATTCATCTGTGTCTTTGTAGTTGCCCATTACCTCCGCTTTCAGTATTTTCCCTTTTCCCCCTCTAGCCAACTGTGAAATTTCTTTCATTCTCCTAGATTGTGTAAATAGCTCATCTTCTCTGAAGCCTCCCAGCCTTTATCCCCCATTCCCTGACCTTTCCCTTTGCCTCCCAGCAACACAGTTGTCATTCTACCCTCAAGGTTCCCATCAGATTTACCCAGCTGCACTTAACAACTTTCTCACAGTATTGTAATTCCTTGTTTGCATATCCATGTTGTACCCCCTCTACCCTCTCTAGACTATAAGTGCTTTGAAATAGGATTTAACTCAGCCCAATTTGCATGTGTGTGTGTCCCTAGTTCTGTGTCTGTTCAATAAATGAATGAAACTCAAATTATTTATGAGAGTGAATGAAACCTTTCCACCCTGTAAGTTACCTCTTTCCCATGCTTCAGTGTTTTTCTTTTGTTTGTTGATTGTTGTTTTATTTTTAGTCCCACTCATCTACCATCTATCCTTTCATCAAAGATTCTGATGTATCTTTCTCACATATATATAATATAAACATTTATTTTATATAGATTAATAGAAACATTTATTTATATTATCCCTTTCTTAAAAAACAGAAACACCCAAGCTGAAATGGGATAAAATATAACATTGTTTAAAATCAGCTGTAACTTTTATGAACATTGAGATCAACATGAGAAAGAGGTTATCACACATGTAGGTCCATAAATTTATATACTCCTAAGACATTAGAACAAATTTTCAAAATGATCCCATTATCTCTTATCTCCTAAAATAAATAGCATTCAGGCAGTCAACTTTTCCCGCAGCAGATTTTGAAGGACTGGACTCTGGTGACTGGAATTTATTAATATCAGATAATGTATGAATTAGGAGAACATTTGTAAGGGTGGAATATTTGTTTTCAGAGAAATTTGGGTTGTGATGCAATATGACCTGTAAACGTATCAGAACATAGATTTATGAAGTTACGTGGAGTTAGATGAAAGGAAACGTTGACAAATCAGTTTTGTTCTCTCTGTAATAATAAATCATTGCCTTTTTCACTATGTCTTCTGTAAAAGTATGTGACACTTAGTTGTTCTTTTTCCTTCTTTTCAGCAATTTCCTGATCAAATTGTAGGATTTGTTCCTAGAAAGCACGTCCCTACTTCATCAGGTATCTACAGTTACGGAAGTTTTGAAATGCAAGCACCAGGGTCTGGAAATGGTGACCAGTACTCTATGGTGCTGATTGGAGCCTCATTCTTCAATAGCAAATATCTTGAACTCTTTCAGAGGCAACCTGCAGCTGTCCATGCTTTGATAGATGATACTCAAAACTGTGATGATATTGCCATGAATTTTATCATTGCCAAGCATATTGGGAAGACTTCAGGGATATTTGTGAAGCCTGTAAACATGGACAATTTGGAAAAAGAAACCAACAGTGGCTATTCTGGAATGTGGCATCGAGCTGAGCATGCTCTGCAGAGGTCTTATTGTATAAATAAGCTTGTTAATATCTATGATAGCATGCCCTTAAAATACTCCAACATTATGATTTCCCAGTTTGGTTTTCCATATGCCAACTACAAAAGAAAAATGTAAAAGTGAAACAAACAAAAACAAACCTGAAAACTGCTTGGTATTTGGGTAGCTTCTCCATGCTATGTATTTTTTTAACCAACATCATGAACTTTTATCTACTCCAGAAGTCTCTACAATAGAAAAAAAAGTACAGTGCTTCTAGGATATAAAATTCACATTACTTTTGAAAGCCAAGAAGTTTGGGCTTATCCAGTTAGGTCTTCTTTTGAAGAGTTTTCATCCAGGGATATAACTCCTTGGTCAGTGATTTTATTGTTTACATCCTGAGACTGTTCTACAGTGTCTTTGACTCCTGGCATTTGCCTTAAGGACCTATAGCAAGCTGTTTCTAGGATCAGAAACTCAAGAGAGGCATTTCTCTGCTTTTTCACTAACGGTCAATTGTTTTAATTTGAAGCCTGAAATGCCTCTTTAGCAAAAGCCTGTAGTATGGGGTAAAGTCATGTGAGAAGACAATAGTCTCAGTCACATATGAAGAGGAAAATTTGCAGCTACCAGTGCTTTCCTTGTGTCCCTGCTAACCAGCTCTTCCAGGACTAACTCAGTGCAGCATGTTTTTGATGTAACCATCAGTGCTTTTATTTTTCTTAAGTCTTTTGTGACTGGGACAGTTAATTTTAGTAGCGAAGAACGTCTAGTTGTTTGCTTGATTTTTGTGAACATTTACTGCACGGATCACAAAACAATATAGCTTATGTTTCTTATATGCAACTTATATGCAGCAAAGAGTAAATATGTTACTAGATTCGGGTAGTGTGTTTTGTCACTGAATCAGACCTTGTGAATGAACATTAATTCTTATGTTCTATGTAATGTATGTGTTGTTTAAGAAGTGTACAAAAAAAAAAAAACCTTCTGAAACTGTGAGTAAGAACTGGCAGAAGTTAAAACCTTTGTATTAAAAGATCTTTATTGTTTGAACATTGGTTATCTTCCAGATACTAATAAGTTGTATTGCAAAGCCAAACGCTTGCAGTCACAACTTAAAAGAAAGAAAGATCCAAGGTATTATTCATCATGATTAAATTTCAACTACATGCAAAGAGGAGAAAATAAGAACTGAGCAATAACAGAGGAATTCTATAAGGAGTCTACATCGGTTCATTGCTGAGCTGCCCACTCTCTGTTATGTGAATTAGTATCTGTGTTCCACTCATTGTCTGTATTTAGTTCTTGTTCACAACTGGGGCCAGGAATTCTTAAGTAGGCCTCTGTTTACCACCTTTTCTCTCTCCTCCTTTCACTCTTCTTCCTCCTTCTCCTCTTCTTATATAATGCCAGTATATTCTCAAAATTGCAAAGCTGTAAGAATATTAAAATAATTATGGCTAATGTTCCAATAATGAGGTCTTTGTGCATTTAGTTCAGTGTATTATGGTTTTTTGTTTTTTGGTTTTTTTTCTTACTTTGAAGAGTATATGTGTCTTAATGCATTCAGATTTAAAAAGAAACTAAAACAAAGAAAGTTAGAACCTTACTAAAAATTGATAATGTCAATTATCTGTTTTGTCTGATATTGGTAGTACTTTTTGCCTCTTATGATTCCTCTAGTAAATAAATAAAATAAACTTTTGCCATCCATGTGTTCTATGTTAGCTAAGCAGACTCATGTTTTTGTGCTTGGTGTTCTTACACATTTCTATATATGATACTCTAATATGTTGCTGAGAATAAGGTAGAGATATTTGTCACATTATCTGTGAAAAAATAATCCCAGATTTTATTTGCCATCTTGTGTTTTTAAACTTGTCTTAAGCATCACATAGGTTAATCATATCACGGTTTCAGTTATTATACAGCAAATAATATGAAACCAAAATGCAGTTCAGTCTATATTACAAAGACTCTTGCATTGTACCTAGACTCTTACTAAAGCTATTTTTCCCTGAACACCTCTCTTTCTTGCCCCAAATGATCCAGAGAAGAGATGCTCAGGTTTAAACTTTTGTAAAAGAAGCAATGCTGTGTACGGGATCAGCTGTGCACACTCTGCCATTAGAATACTTGGGCTCAAATCCTTGCTAGACCTCTTAACTACTCAGTTTCCTCATCTGCAAAATAAGAAGAATATCTGTCTGGGGTTTGTTTTAAGGAATAAAGGAGATAACTTGCGTAGATATAGCACAGTGCTCTGCTCATTTTATATGTTCAATAAATGAAAGCTGTTGGGATGAAAGTGTCATTGATGCAAGCGCAGAGTTAATCCTTCCACTTACCAGCTGATGTTAGGAAAGCTCCTAGGTCCGACAGGTGAGACATTCAGGAAATTATTTACATTTAACTATGGGCAAGAAACCATGGCAATTTCACCTTTTTTTCATTATTTCAAATACTGTTTTTTGTTTGTTTGTTTTTTTGTTTTGTTTTGTTTTGTTTTTTTAGACAGTCTTTTTCTTATCATTAGAGCCGTATATATTCATTCTAGCAATTTTGGCATATTCGGGAAAGCATCAAGAAATAATTAAAAGCCCATGACCCCAATTAACAATGGCATTTTCATATGTATTCTCATAGACTTTTTTTGGCATATATTTTACTGGCATAGTTTATCTGGTATTTTATTATATGAATAAACCATAATTTAGGTACTCAATCATGCTACCATTTTATTTTAGACTTTTTTACTATTATAAAAATATTTGGATAAGTATCTTTGTCTTGAAAAGACATCTTTGAGCATATCTATAATTACTTCTTTAAAATGAAGTCCCACAAAGTTCAATACTTGGGTCAATCTAGTAACACGTGTGCTTTTAGGATTTTTGCTACATACTGTTAAATGTTTCCAGAGGTGTTGACATGGCTACCCTATTAATACCCCATCTGAGAGCATCTGTTTCTCCTAAGTTTTCCCAACATTAAATATTATTTGAAAAGTTCTTTTATATATTTTTTATGTGTATAAAATATTCCAATGGTGCCGGATTTGAGAGAATGCTCATTCATAGAATTCTGTATTGAGAAGACTGAAAAGGTAAACAACGATCAAAACATTGGAGGACAATGTAAGCTTCAGGAAGCATTTGACGTGCTTCTAAAAACTTTACTCCAAGGGTGACAGTATAAACTGAAAATTTCCTAGTACCAGCAATAAACCATTTGGAAGCAACAGAAATGGTCACACTTGTTTTCCCTGGGGAATACCTAGGGCTTTGAGCCTGAGGTCAGGAAGGGATATCTGTGCATGCTAGAATGCATACTCTTGAGGGGGTAGGAGGGACAGGGCATGGAGTGTGGGAGAGGTAGTAGAGGATATTGCTGTTACGAAGGAGGAATATGAAGGTACTGAATCTCAAGCGTTGCTAGGAAGACTTACATGGTGAGATTAGATCATCCTCTACCCCACACCAGCTTTTATTGTTTATTGTTTTACTAGGGTGCTTTCAACCTTGTTCACTTTCTCCTTTTCTGCCTTCTTCTCCTTCCCCATTCTTCTTTCCTTTCTTCCACTCCTTGAAAGCCCTCTTAATTACAACTCAAACATTTTCAAATATATAGTTACCATAGATGAAAAGACCATTTGATAAGCTAGAAACATGCACTGAGTCCTGGCTTGACTTAATTTCATCTGCAAAATGGGGATGAAAATATCTGCCCTAAGATTCACTGGTTGCTTTTGCTTTCGCAGGCCATAATGTGTAGAGAGAACTTTGCAATATCCAAAAAATTAAAGAACATGGTAAAAGCCATCACTGATAAAGAGCAGCATGGCCAACAGTTAAAAAGAAAGCTTGGTTGTGAAGTAGTAACTGTGTCATAATTATACCTTAGAGTATAAAAAGAAGCGAGAGTAAATATGCAAATACTGAAAACAATTTAAGGAGCCCCCTTTAGCTCCAGCTCAGAAGGAACATGTAAATGAAGTATTTATTTACTCTAGAGATGCCTTGAGCCTCTTTTCCTTTTCCTATGTCAATTTTTTTTATCTGAAAAGAAAAAGAATCAAATTCTTGATTGGAAAGTTTTGAGTAGTTAAAAAATACATATGTATCTGAAGAAATCAGTCTTACCTTGCAGCAGTAGGTCCTAACCTGGACTGATTTTGCCCCGAGGGGACATCTGGCAATGACTGGAGACATTTTTGGTTGTGGCAGTGGAGGGCTTGCGCCTGGTATCTGGAGAGTAGAGACCAGGGACGCTGCCAAGCATCCTGCAGTGTACGAGACAGGCCCTCACCACACGGAACTAAGTGTCCCAAATGTCAGTAGCGCTACAGTTGAGAAAAAACATATTTGACATATCAGAGAATATTTAATCAGTCTTATATCACACACTTTCTCACAATGAAAGTTGCATTTTTACAGTTTTATCCTGCATAACAATGCCTATTGGAACAGAACATTAAGGAAAAATGTGCTTATATTCCTGATAAGACATCTGATACATGATTCTATGGCCCTCAACCTGATCAAAGAGCCAGAAATTTCCCTGGTTAAGGTTTATTTTTCATTCATTTTCTTTTTCTGATTCACATACCTCTTTTCATTTTCACATATTGAAGAAATGGACAGTGGAGCTTGATTTTCTGGGAGGGAACATATGAATGGATATATATTTCTGCAGCACCACAGAGAAATACTATATAATAGATTGTGTCTTTTAATAATGTCTCTAGTTAAAGTCAGCATGGTTGAGTTAACATAAGCTAAATATAAATTCTCAAGTAAGCATAGTTATGTATGAATATTTATGTGTGTCCAAATATTTTTGGTTTAAACAATAAATAATATACATCTAGTGAAGACAATTTATATAGGAAAGAATCTTGAAGAAGATTGAGAATGAGAGAATGAGATTATCAGGGAACTTTTTTCTGGTGTAAGCTAGGTGACCAAGTTATTTAAATTTATCTTGGTCTCAATTTCCACATCTACAAAAGAGAGGGACGAACTAAATGATCAGTAAATTTATTTCCCGTTGTAAAATTCTGTAACCCTAAATGTGAGTATTGAATTAGTAGGTTTTAAAGTAGGAATTTTTTATTTCCCAGCAAGAAAAACTTATCCCATAGAGTTTAGCTCTGTTGAAACCTCCCCTACATCCTAAGCCTATCTCCCCAGGAGCACTGTCTGCAAGTGAATTCTAACTTAATAAACATCACTAATTGTTCGCAGTTTTTTAGGACCAAAATACGTGATGATGATGATGATGATGTCATCACTCAGTGGTAAATGCCAACTGGAAGAGGTTGCGATTTCACAGACATTTTACTTCTTAACGAAGCTATTTAATAGATATCACTGGCCATTATGAAGAACTCCAAGAGAGTTACAGAGGCTAACAAACCACTTCAGTCAAATTGAATTATAAATCATAAAAATTACCACATACAGCAGCTAATTTGTTAAATTAGCTAATTTTACAACTCCAGTGCAAATAGCAGTTGTAAAAACAGTCAAATTATTTGATTTCATTTAAGCTAGTGAAACATGATTTTTATGGAATTTACTGTCTGACCAGCAGGTGTCAGTGCAATCTAATTTACCGACTAACATTTTAGTAGTTTAAATACCTGCTAGTAAACTAAGTGAACTAGTCTCAAAATAGCAAAGTTAAAAACCTGCTGCCATTGTTTTTGATTAAGAATATCTTTTCAAGTAGAGCTCTAGAAAATATCAATCTTTCAAAAGTTAGGTTATATGGGTCCTTGCCTAGGTAAATCATATTATATAAGTTATAACACGTGGTTATCATAATTTATGTGACAATAGCATTTCTCAGTGACATATGGAAGATGTGACCTTAATTAAACACAAAATGTTAATCTGTGGTGAAGTGTTAGAATAGCACGTTATTTTAAAAACTCACATATCGTGAACACTTGAGCCAAATGTAACTTAATTGTCTCTGGGTGACATATACAAAGCCTTGGAAGAACACATTAATTCCCAAAGAACACTAAACATCAGTAGCATGATATCATTTGTTTTCTATAATGCAGGATTTTGCTTTTGGCAAAAACCGTAACTATAATAATAGCAGCACTTATTATGTGCTGAACGCTTAGCTTATGCTGTTCCATGTAATCTTTGCAACAACCCTGCAGCGTAGAAGCTTGTGTCATCCACATCTCAAGGATAAAGCAACTAACATTCAAAGAGGTTAGGTAATTTTTCTAATAAAAATTACACAGGTGCCAAAACGACAAACTTCAGTTAGTTCCAAGGTGGTACTCTTCCCTTCATGCAATACTCCATTCCTTTAAAAACGCTCTATGACCGTGTATTGAAAAAGCCTTATATCACTTGTTTCATCATACTTAATGCTAAAGCTACATTTTATACAAAATATTTCCACAGCAATGATATGGCACATAACTAGAAGTACATCAAGAATAAAATAAAGGAGAGTGTGTACAATTACTTTTAAAAATCAAAAGCCATAATTTCTTATAAAGTAAAACATGTACTCACCATATAATAGCAATCCCATGCCTAGGTATTTACCTATGACATATGAAATATATATCCACAAAAAGACCTATACTCAAATATTTATCAGAATTTTGTTCATAATCATCAAAACCTGAAAACAACCCAAATTTCCAGCCACTAGTTAGAAGATAAATGTATTGTGGTTTA